GGGTTCATGGGTTCATGGGTTCATGGGTTTGGGGTTTGTTTGTTTTTGTGTCGGAGGTTTTGGGTTCGGGTGTTGGAGGTTTTGGGTTTGGGTGTTGGAGGTTGAGGTTTCCGAAGGGATGTGTTTGCAAAGTTTTATTGCTCTTAATATTATGTTACTAGACCACTTCAGCGCCCGATATTAGCTTTCCCTCCGCGTCCCCTAGAATCCTCCTTCACAAGCATTTCCTCCGTCAGGGCGCGCCTCCCCCGCTCGTCTTCCGCCAGATCGCGACGCCTCCCGGGCGGGGTTGATCCGCGGAGGAGGAGCCGGGGCAGAGGCGCCGCGGAATTTGACAGAGGAAGGCGGGCCCCCGGGGTTTTTGAGATGTTTCAAAGCTTGGCTGCTTTTGAATATGGTGCAAGTTTTTGGATGGGAAGTCCTGTGCGCAGAGCAGCTTTACACTTATAGCGCTTCAGTGGAGACCTGGAGCGAGTTTGACGCTTCTAGTTTGCAGCTTTGGGCTTGCAGCTCGACGCCCGTGGCTTTCAGAGTGAAGCCCTGGGCTTGAGGGAAGCTCTGGGCGTAAAAATTCGGGCTTGGCGCTTTGGTTTTGAAGCTGTGGACTTGCAAGCGAAGGTGCTAGGCTTGGAGCCTTGGACTTGACGCCTTGGGCTTGGAGTCTTGGGCTTAGCATTTGGCAGTAAGTCTTGGGCACGAAGTTTTGGACTTGGAGTTTTGGATTTGAAGACTGGGGCTCAAGGTCTAGGGCCTGAAGTTGTGGGCTTGAGGCCTTTAAAATTTTGGGCTTTGAATCGGAAGAGTTTGAACTTGATAAATTTGAAATTCGCTTTTGGCTGATAAAATCAAAAATTTTACTATTTTTCTCCAAAATAGCAAAATTTTCGATTTTATCGCCTAAGCTTTAAATTTGGTCGCCTGGGGTCGCGTAAGATTTTTGCTATTTTTTATCCAATGTGGCAAAGTTTTTGACTTTATCGCTTAGATTTTCAACTGAATCGGCCGCATAGGTTCATAGGTTCAGAGGTTCCTGGTTTTGTTGTATGAGTGTAGTTTTCAGCTCGAGTGTTTTTGGCTCCAGCGCTTTTGGCTCGAGTGTTTTTGGTTCGGAGGTTGGTAGGGACGTTGTTGATTTTTTATTCAGCTCTTGAATATTCTACAACCATCTGCATCTTCAGGCTCGTGCAATCATTCACCTCGATCTCCCTAGAACATCATTTGTCAACCAAACACCATCTATCAATAATTGTCATCCATCATCCAACCATCCTCCACTCACCACCCTCCAACCCTTCCCCAACCATCCTCCAACCACCAACCATCCCCCAACCACCAACCGCCCTCCAACCACCAACCATCCCCCAACCACCAACCGTCCTCCAACCACCAACCATCCTCCAACCACCAACCATCCTCCAACCACCAACCATCCTCCAACCATCCTCAAACCACCAACCATCCTCCAACCACCAACTATCCTCCAGCCATCCGTTAACCACCAACCATCCTCCAACCACCCTCCAACCTCCAGCTTGGCGAAGATTACATCGGTATGGAGGAGGCGAGAGCGGACGGCCCTGGTGATGTTTGTGGCGTCACGAAGGAAAGAAGCAGGGAGAACAGGGACAAATGCAAGGCTGATGGTGGAGTACCTGGGGAGAAGGAATGTTATGATAATTCATCTTGGGAATGATTTGCTGAATTTTTTAAACTTGTGAAATATCTTGTTTCGGACAACATGTTGCTGTTGTCAAAAGCACCAGTTGTTTCAACTGAGTAAAAAATACATCATAGTAGTTTTTGTTGTTGTCCCATGGTCCTAGTATGGTCCTAGTCCTACCTGATGTTGCTTCCCATAGGTAGTCCTATGCTCCTACTACTTGATGTTGCTTATGAATATAATTGCGTCGATCTTCTAATACGCGGAGGAATTCGAGAAAAAGTATGTGACGCCTTGGGCAGAGGAGACGCTGGACAACCAGAAGAGAGAGGCTGAAGGGTTGTCAGAGAACACGGAGGATTATGGATCGAATAGAATTCTTCATAATAAAAAGGCTATGCCTATTCCTAATCCTAAATTGGCCTTGATGTGGTCGTATTTACGTCCCCTTCTTCTAAGAATCCAAGGAAGCAGCCATGCATTTTCTGGCGACGTACTGCTGCAACCTAGAGAAGCCCAGCAAAGTGGCGGGCTCCATGGAAGACTCACTCTTTTGCTGTATGTGATCATGAGGAGGAGTTTACTTTTTGTGACAGTAGTGGGTAGGGCAGCCTACTTAACGCGTTATTTTAGCAACACGTTTAGTAGAGCAGTATTAGTGGGAGAGAAAAAAGTATAAGAAAAGTGAGTGATCATCTTCGGGTTTAGTTAATGGTTAATAGTTGAACTGTTCATTGTACCCCAGTGAGCAGTTGTTTTCCACGTCTAGAATCCCGAATCCTCATGTTGCCCTGAGGATCCCTCTTCAAGCCTTCCACCTCCAAAATCAAAAGTTGTCTTGTTTTCGCAGCCTCCCTTGTTCCATCACCTTATCCCGCCACAACGTTTCCCATGATACCCTACACATTCATTGCTCATCACCTTGTTCAACCATCAGATTGTTGTACTCGTTGTCTCCCGTAGTTTCCTATCAACATGTCCTATCAACATTATCCTATCAACATGTCCTACACCACACTAACACTCAATACGTCATATTCTACATAGTTATTGCATCAAACAACTTGAACATCAACACGCATCACAACCACAGACACTCTCATGCCCACGCATATTATTCAGACCCATATATTTGAATTTATCGCCCAGCAGAGATCATTTTTACTACTACGTGTACGTCCTCCTAGTACAACAACTACATTTTTTGTAACGAAGAATCGCTTCAATAACACATACCACTGCAGCATTTCCTCCACAACATGACAGCATCACGACATAGATCGAATCAGATATTGTCCAAGAACGATTTAGAATCCTACTTTCTTACGTAGCTTCCACATTCACCAAGAATTTTATAAGTCTTCATGAAACAAATAACGAGACGCATTTCCTGAATATCGACGACGACGAACCTGCCGACGCCTACTGTTGCATGAGATGAATCATGACCTCCACGACTCCAGGCAAGGTGTTGCATGACGACCACGCACAGGCGTTGTTCGTGCGCTGCCGAAGGAGCGACTACGGCATGTCCGACATTGATGTCGTGCTGTTCGGTCTATGCTAGTACAGCTGTCTACTCCGTCGTTTCCGATAACTTCTGTGATAGTATCTCGAGTCCTCGAGCTCGACCACAACATCCAAGACGGCCGCGATCACCAGTCGACAACTGAAAATAAGCGAGTTTGTGACTAACATAAGAGGCTCTTGGCTAGCTTCCTCTTCTTTCAGTATCTCGCTGATTTTATAAGTAGTAAGTTACTCGGTTATAATTTCAGTTTATCGAGTACACGACTACACTACGCTTCTGTCAAGAACCAATCGGTTCCGATTCGTGTCTGTATCCATCGGTAGCTCGTTGAAGAATGCTGGCCCTTGAGCGGAGAGAAGCTTCTGACTCTATCTTCATCCTCCAATTCTTGGACTCGGACTAGACCTGCTACTTTTAACGTACTAGTTGCTTCAATTTTAGATCGTAGGACCATCACGAACATGAACATAATTCCACCAATTGACAACGAAGAAGTACTGGAGCAGACGGAGGACAATGAACAATACAAATAGCCCTCACGACAGTAATTATATAAAATCAACTTCCACTACATTTTCATCAAACACCTTTTCGCATCACAGCAGCGATGAACGAACACTTTGCACTCCCTCTCACCACTTGTGCCCTACTTTTTTGCACTCGATGAAAGTGACAACAAAAGGAAAATAGGAAGATAGTTGGTGTTTTTTTATGTCATCTGTAGATTAGACATGTAGAAGAGGTTCATGCAGTTTTTTTTTGATCCAACCTACTGTCGCTACTTCTAGTAGTGATCATACAACATATTGAATTTTCAAGCAACATCATCATCATCATCATCATGTCAGTGTCAGTCTCATCCCCCTCCCGCAAGAGCGGGGTCAAGACAGAGAAGCCCACAGTGCTCTCGTTCGTTCCTGGTATGCCTGTGTGGGTCCCAGACGGTCAAGAGGCATGGAAGCCAGGACAAATAGTCGATGTAGTGCCAAATGCAGAGCGAAAGTCATCTGATCTGAGGTCGCTCACGAGTCGAAGCAGTGCTGATAGCTTGTTGGGAGTTATGAAGAAGGATATCGTAAACTGCAGATTCAGACTCAGTCGCGAATATGATGAACAAAATGTAGAAGTATGTTGTGGTGTAACACTGTGGGTACTAGATGTAGTTTTTAGGCGATCGTACTAACGTAAGAATTAGGTTTGTCGTTATTGCTTCTAATCTCACGAGAACAAGTGCTGGCTCAAAGACATCACTACTGGACCAGGGCTCGGAATGCAAGGAAATCGTGACGCTTCGGTGTGATGGTGTGGTGCGGGACCTGAATACGGTGGACCAACAAGCAGCTTTGAGAATCCGCGAAGCAGCTGCCATGAAAAATAAGGCTAGATAAGACTTTGATAATCTTCGTTTTAAACGAAGAAGTCTGATGTATCAATCTACGAAAGGTTTCGTACGTGATCCTGTGCCTCCAGTTGATGATCATGATACTAGCCGTTTATAACTGAAAAAACGTTCTTCAATCTATCTGGTTGAAACAAATCACCTTTCTTCGTTTATAATCTATCTTGTTGAAACAAAAAAAGCGTTCAATCTATCTGGTTGAAACAAATCACCTTTCTAATAATTCTCGTGGTGTAGATGCTGGGGATGACTTAGATGCATTACCGTTCCTGCACGAACCCAGTGTGCTTCAGGCCCTCCAGGCGCGGTTTTTGCTTGATCGCGGCTACACCCGACTTGGTCCCGTGATGCTTTCTTGTCTCACTGCAGGAGCTGCCACCGAAACCAATAATGGTGGGTCCGCCGCGTCAGTTAGCCAAACGCCTCTCGGAAAGATGAACAGCGGTCTCAAGTCCGGGATGAAACAAGGCAGCACGAAGTTTGCGGCCTCATCATCCTCTAGTTCCTCCATCTACAGCAAAGCACAGGAGTACATCCGCGAAAACGCGCGGATAGTAGAGAACACCACGCCGCACATCTGCGGTCTCGCAATGGACTCGTTTTACGCTATGTATAACAAGGGACGAAGCCAAATCGTGCTGATCACAGGAGAGAGCGGCAGCGGAAAAAGCTACAACGCAGAAGCAGTGCTGAAGTGTCTCACGTACTTGAAGGAAGATAGGAATCAAGAGAGCAAGGTTTCGGCAGCTTTGAATGCAGTAGAGCCATTGTTGAGGGCTTTTGGGAACGCGCACACAGTGCGAAATCGAGACAGCAGCTGCTATGGTCGATTGACGGAGTTGTTCTATCCGATGAGCATATGGCAATGTTGAGTCAAAAAGTTGTGGCTACCTCCTATCGTCCCAATCGTAGTTGTTCCTAACAATTTGTACAGATTCTGGCACAATCGATTCCAATCTCAAGTAGTTTCACTTCCAGTTTGCAATTGTACTAGATTCATGCATGATCACTACCTAGCAGTGAGTTCTTGTCGTGTTGATGAAGATGAAAAAGATTCAGATCGACATATACCCCTCTTTCATACCACAATCGAGGAAACTTGCAGGCTGGGCGACTCGAGACTTTTCTCTTGCAGAAAGGCCGCATCTCAGATCTGAACCAAAGCGAACGAAATTTCCACATCTTCTACCAATATGCAGCGGCTCTACATTTCTGTGGGAAGCAAGCGAAACAAGCTGCTTTTGGCGACGTCAAGGATACTATGAACGACGACCCGGAACAAGATCTCCCTGTCGGTGGCTCCGCACAGTCCCTAGGTGTCGGTGGGAAGACACGCTATGAGTACGTCTTTCGACCAGATGGCGGACCCAACGCGACCACCTACCACTTCATTCCGTTCGAGGGTGCGTCTACGGGAGTAGTACCAAAGATGCTCTCTGGAGGAGGCATCGCGCATGATCCAGATGACTTCCCGAACTTCGATGCAACTCTTCATGCGTTCTGCAATTTAGGTGTGCCAGTCGAAGAACAAGAAGAAATCTTCAACCTCTTGACCGCGATCTTGCTACTCAGCTGCGTCTCAACCGCAAATGCGAATGCGAGGGATCCAAGTGCAAGTAGTTAGACTTACACATTTTTTCTAGTATCGAGTCTCCTTCATAGTTGCTGGTTTTGGGAAATGCATATCCAAGATGAAACTGAAGTAGATGAATCTCTATCCTTCGCCAGTGAGCTAATCAACATTTGTTCACAATCCTCACACCGCTTCTTAGGCCGCTCATCTTCTCGCGTTGCGAAGATTGAGGAGAGTGCAAAGAATGTCCGAATTGCCGTACTGGCTAAGATTCTGGGAGTCTCAGACGAAGCTCGTTTGCGTCAGATTTGCGAGAATTCTGATGCCGTTGACTCTCTCTCACGATTGCTCTATGGACAAGTCTTCAAGTACATCGTGCACCGGTGCAACGACGCTTTGAGCGCGAGTTTGCAAGAGGACGCGTTGAGCAATGTTAAGGCTACACTTACACTTAGAAAATATCAGAAACTGAAACGCACTAACACAAGAAACACTATCTTGCATATGGGTATGGTATATGATTAGAAATCTCCTCAGTAAATATAAATAAGGATGCAGTGGTTTTTATGCTAGCCTCTACCACCTCTAACAATGCCAGCGAATTCGCCTCCGTCAGCGTCCTAGACATGTTTGGATTCGGGAGCTATCGTAAGAATGGATTCGAGCAACTCTGCACCAACTACGCGAACGAGGTGATGCGCAAATACATCTTTTCTGACGTCAGAACTTGGACTTCAGCAACGTATTCGTCAACCACCGGACAACAAATTCAAGGCCAACAACAAGGTGTGTTGAACAACCTGTCGCAAGCACAGCTAGACAGCGTGAACGAGAACCATGACGCGGTAGTCAGTCTGATTCGGACCGGAATCTTCCCTCTGTTAAGGCTTACCCTAATTCATCTTCCGCAGCATCCTGAAGAGGGTCGTCTTCATGGAGAAAAAGGGAACAGGGTGCTTCTCAAGAAGGATTAGAGTGAGTTCTAACTATGTTGGAAAGCGTGGCGAAGACGGCACCTCCGGATGACGTGTCTTTGGGTCTGTTTTCTAGACAATTGGACCAGCAGTTTTGCTCGAGAGTGCGGTCGTCTTTTGGTGCTGGTAAGAATCCGCGGTTTCTGGAGAAGCGAAATCTGTCTGACAGTTTCGCAATTAGACACTTCACGTCGGATGTTACCTACACGGTCTCAAGCTTCGCGCACAAGAATTCCGACCCCTATCTACCAGAGCTCGTTGCGTTCCTTCGTGAGCAGAACAACGTCACAGAAGCAGCCTCGTCTCCGTTCTCACGAAAGAGCAAGAACGCTGATGGTGCTGCCAAGACGCGCACTTCGCGCATCGCCACTGGCCCGAACCACTTTTTGCAGACGCTGTTGCGCGATAAAACTCTGGTCGAAACAGAGTCTAAAAACCTACGATCTCAACTAGACCGCGTCATGGCTCTCGTAGATGCAGGTGAGCGTCATTTTTGCGTGTGCCTGCGACCCAACGGCAAGAGTGTCCCCGACTTTTACCACCGCAACTACGTTGCAGATCAGCTTCGCATGCAAGGCGTGATGGAGATAGTGGATTTGCAACGCAGTGTTCTCCCAGTACGGTTGGACGTGAAGGAGTTTCTATTAAGGCTCAACTTTCAATGGTCACCATAATTTAGATTGGAGTCACTGAGATCGAAGAGGCGACCTCCCCTTGAGAGTAGAACAGCGGAACTTAATGAAGTAGGGAAAGGGGAGAGCTTTGAAGGGGGTCTCTTCCGTTCAGAGTCATGATGGCCAATGAATGCTGAGCTTTAATTCTAGTAGAGTTTGGAGGTTTGAAAACCTACATGGTCGAGTTCGGTCAACGGCCAAATGTCAACGACTCTCAGGGTGGTGGAAACAGGGGTTCGAAAATGCTAGCGTCATCGTCCAAGAATGGAGGCAATGCGAAAGGCAAGGTGAGTCTAGCGAAGCAAGCGTCAGGTGCTGGACCGAGAGGCATCTTGAGGAGGGGTAGCACCGCAGCTAACAGCGTTATGTCAGCAGTGTCTTTGACGACAGGTTTGGCACGTAGTGGCGCGTCGCAAGTGGCACCTCCAAGTCCCGCAGAGGAGCTATTGTTCACAATCGCGGAAGCAAATTCTGCGGTCGAAGAACTGGTCGGGACGAACAAAGATGGGTCAGACGCTTATGATTTTTACACAGGAGCCACTACTCCTTGAACATTATACATAGATAATTGTTGATAGTTACCCTTTTCTCTTTTATATCTTCCTCTGGTCTGTCTTTTTTCTAGTTAGGTCGGCTCCGCCACAGTTATAGATAATGAGTCTCTTTGTAAGACATCAAAGAGAAAGACTTACTGACAGAGACACCTGAATGTTGTACCGCGATAAGTTGTTCCTCCATAACAATGTCACGTGGGCTCATCTTTCTGTTTTGTCACCATTCCTCCTCTACTAACCCTTCCAGCAGCACTACCGAGTCGTCACTACAACTCAGCATGTTGGCAGCGCTGTCCGCAAATCCGGTGCCATCCTCTTGTCAGAGGAGCTATACCTCGCCTTAAAGCAGACGCAGTACGACGCTCAAAATGCGAATGCTACGCGACTCTCCGCTGCTTACCGGCAGTTCCTGACCAAGCGTCGCTACGATCATATTCGAGCCTCAACCGTGAAGTTGCAGAGATGGATGCGGGATTTTCTGTCGCTGAAAACGAAGCGAAAGTTCCAATCTCTGATAGGAATGTTGCGTACTGGAGACGGCAAGAAAGTCAAGTTTCCGTTTGCTTTGGTACTCACTTCTGTTGCTTCTATGAACCGCTATATTAAGTTGTAGTTGGAGCAAATATATCACAATTACGTTGTACAATTTCAATTTGAAGATCGTCTGGTGATGTATCTCACGAATCTATCTAGAGTATCGTAGCTACATCAAAGCTTTCCTATCCACCTCCACCAATCTCTGTACAACTTCAGCCTAATTCCGCCCTGATGGCAGCAGGCAAGTCAGGAGGAAGCACAGCTGTTCCTAGTGACACAGATGCAGAGGTGGAGAGACACGTAAAGGAAATCGCCGATGAACGTGCACGTATGCAACAGCAGCAGATGGATCTGATGCACGCTTTGCATAAGTCAAGAGCCGCCAAAGCAGAGGGTGAAAGCGCAGGACCCGACAACGGTTCGATGATGTACTATAGTGAGCCACGTCGAGGTAGCAACAACATGATGTTCTACAACAATTACAGTGGAGGCTCTACTAGAATTAAGGCTTCTTCTCCTAATAGATTCATTTCCAGATCCAGAAGCATCTTAGGGCTGTCAGTCTCATATTAAGGGGAAACCGGTACTAAGATGAGTCTCAGGATGGATTGGACGGGGCTCTAATAGAAGTTCCGGCGAGGAAACAGTAACGCCACGTAGTCGAAGTGGTCCGATATCTTTGGATCTGGTGCCATTGGATTTTCCATCTGCTACGTCGTCGAAGTCGTCCCTTATTTCCTCTAGTAGGAGTCACTACAGTGGAGGTTCTGGCTCATCTGTATGGATGATGTTTTTTGCATCTCTCAGACCATCGAGGAGGCTCCACCCCTTATAATGCTACATATGAATACCTTAATACGTTTTTAAGGGGAAAAGGGTTGCCTCCATGGAGATGGTCTGGCTAGATGGATGAATAGACACCATTCATAATCTGCGAGAAGAAGAATGACGAATGGCGCTCCTGGGACGTTTCAGTTCTACCTCGATGGAGACGACATCGTCGATACGGGAGACAACAAGAACAATAGCACCAACGCGCAGCTTAGTGCACTTTTTGCTGCACAACAAGCAGTTTCCGACTGCATCAAGGCATCCAAGGATAGCAAACTGCAGAGCAACTGGGACAAACTGCAGATTAGCCTGAAGGATCTAGCCAGACAGGTGGAAGAAGGTCCCATGAAGTCGCAGTACATCATAGAAAGGCGAGAAAGGGAATTGCGACACATAATGTATAACGAGCGCCAAGGAATGCTCGAACTCGTCAGAAGAAAACTGGGGAACCTGGTGAATTTGAATCCCATGTTATGGATGTATATTAATGGATGAAACTTTGTTGTTGGTTGTGATAATGAATGGTTCCGGTATTTGGTAACCTGAGTTTGATCATAAGGGAAAACAAGAAGAGAACCCTTATGATCAAATTCAGGTTACCAAATACCGGAACCATACAGATAAAAAGTAGTTATCTATCCTGTTTCAGGACGCGGCTAGTAAGAACTTCTAGAACAGTAAAGCGAGTATATTAACCGGGAGACAAGTCAATTGTAGCTGCGATGAACATACCGAGAAGGAAGAATATGTTTCGCTTGGACCGCTTCAGGAACTAATCCTTGCCCTGCTCAATCAATAGAAGCAGTCTAGTCTTTTCGTCATTCTTCTCATAATACATACAGAAGTAGAAAAATCGTCTCATTGTCCAGCACCTCTAATTTCCGAAGCCGCTAGACGAGCACGACAGGGCATAACCAATGTAGACCTCGAGTTTAGCATTGATCAGCTGAAGCGCCAAGTGAGGGAGTCGGTCGAAGGCGTTTCGGAGGAAGAGCGCAAAAAACTGAATAGCGGTGAAGAAATTATGACTTCTGATACTGAAGACAGACTTCATAGAGGGGGGATGAAGACTGATAGTAGTGAAGAGGACTGATACTATTTTGAATTGGATGAATTTGAATGATTATAGAGTTCCACACGACAGAATTCATATTTTTTATAACAAGAGACCACTGTAGCAACTTCTAACTACTTATGATATTGTATTCATTTTCCTCTATTTACAACTCGTCAATGAATTTATTCAATAGGTTCCCTTTCTCTAAGGAATTGTTTGAAAACTTCGATTTCGCTGCGCTTAGCCCGATATGGACAGAACGGTTAGTCAGAAATCTGCGTAAGATCAAGAAGCCCGTTGACGTCCTCATCCTGGGACCGAAAAACGTTGGCAAAACTGAGCTTGTGCGTCGTATGTATCACAAATGCGACTTGAAGCTGCCAGCGGCATTCATAGGTATAAAAATAAATATTAACTTTTAAAAAGAGTTATAATATATGATCTTCCCAAGTTTTTCTTTTCTGTTTTCAACATAATTCCTCGAAGAGGAAGATAAAAATACTATTATAATGTCCTCTTCCTCCTCGATCAGATCCGAAAACCAGCGAAGAGATGGTCTTCGCTACTCTCGGAGGGCGTGAGGGTAAGGCGCCAGGCCGTGAGGACCCGGAACACTTGTTGCCGGATATCCTGCGCCACGACTTCGATTTCGGAGGCAATTTCTACTTACGTGTCTTAGATTGTCACGCGAGACTGTCGGAGTCTTCGCTCTACCGCAACTTGTACCACCAGGCGCATTGGGTTTTCATCGTGTACACGGTAACTAGGCAGGAAACAGTCCAACAAGCTTTGGCACTGTTGCGAGAAGCGAAAAAATTCAACAACAACGTGTTGCTTGTGGGCAATCTCATCTACGAGGCGGAGACGGTCAAGGCCACAACGCGCAATGTGTCTCGCAGAGTAGCGGCCGAGCCCCGCGAAGTGAACCTGAACTACGTCAAGGCGCGCGCCGACAAGCACAAGGGGATTGTCATGGAAACCAGTGACTTGTTGGTGGCCACAAAGTTAGCGGTAGAGTCGATGATGGCACCTTCGGAAGTGGTTAAGTATGTGCCTGCCTGGAAAGACGCCGCGCACATAACTGGTGACAAACTGCCGATTGGGTTGAGGCGAGCAGAACATCGTAAAGTGGAAGACGAACTGAAGAAAGAAGTCAGGGATCGATTGAAGGGAGTAATTGAAACTTTCCTTGGTCTTTGTGTATGTACTTATCATAAACATGCTGAGACGTAGAAGAAGCTCCTATGCACTATCTAAAAACACGATAGAAGATGAAATGAATCAAGGACAAAGCCTAGGTAGAACAACTTCTAAAGTCTAAGTTATATTGAAGTTTAGTTATTGAAAACAATATTAAAAACACGACCCCCTCCACCACCGCCTCCTCTTTCTTCTTCAGGTTGTTGATACCGCCAAGCCATCGCTAGCTGAGCACGAAGCCGAGAGCAGCTATGTGAAGTATCCGCTAGCAGAGCAATACGATTACAACTTCTTGACTCTGATCGACCCAAAAGAGGACATAGCGCACAAGGAATTGCTGACAAAGGCGAGATTTTAAGGCAAGAAAAATTAGCGGGCCGCGTACTATTAACGCATATTAAGTGGGTCGTAGTTCTAGTTGTTGTTGACCTAGTGTACTAAGTTATCTTCTTTTCCTTGAAGCTCTTCTTGTTGATGTAGGTAAAGGTAAATTGAAATTGACGTACAATATTTATTTAGTGATGTGTCTAAAAGCCCGACTAGTAGTGACGTATAATATTTATGTAGTGACGTATTATAATATTTATGCCTAAAAGCCCGACTAATCGATCGTAGGGTTTGGCCGTTGTGACACGGTCTTCTTGCTCCCCCGGTATGTAAGTTGTTAAATGAGGTTATTTAAGTAGTTGAATGGGAGGCAGCATGTAGTCCTATGGAAAAAAAAAAAAATCGGGCCGCCTATGGAAAAAAAAAAATGTGCTTCAGGATTCTCGCAGGGTAATTAAATGTTCGTATGGCGAGGAATATAGACCCAGGTCCCAAAAAAAAAAGGCCGCCGACGTCGCCCAATGAATGAATGAGTGTCTTCTTCAGTACTGTAAGCATGGCACTCACGACATGTGCTTGCTCTAATAGCAAGTAGGCGAGAAAGCGAGACAAGGCACCGCACCCGACCCGAAGGTCATGGGAGGATCACATCGGGAAGGGGAAAAACCCGACGGGGAGGAAGATGAGGCTCCTGAAAGTGGTGGAGGTTATGGATTTCAAGGAGTACATTAATATAAATTAGACTACAGATTTTTCACATGATTTCACGACGTGATGTTCAATAGAGGAAGAAGTAGAACCGGTATGTCTATTCGTTTTTTATGTCGTCTTGGCGCATTTGCAACTACACGTTCTTGAGTCTATCGATCCCTAGTAACCCACTTCAACTAGTCGACGAGTACTTAAGTAGTACATCTTCTAACTCTCCATGGTCCTTAAAACCGAAGGCATGCAGGTGTACGCAGGCGATGAGTATTTGACTGAACGAGTGAATTACCATGATGACGGAGAAGGGAGGATAACCGTGGGCAAAGAAGATGAAAATCAAGAGACAGACTACGAAGCTGGTCGAGATCGAGATTTAGTCTTGATCGAAAAGCGAAAACCGAAGGCACCAAGTGCAATTACATGTGTATGCTTCGGAATGGAGAATCGAGTGAAGCCCTTCTCCTACCTCGTAGCTGGCTACAAAGACGGACACATCGCTCTGTATCGGATCTATCATACGGAAACCGATTACGAATTGATCCACATGGCCAGCGAAGAGGAGGTATTCTTCAATTGTAGAGGTGCTGATGTTGAGCTAGTACACCTCTTTCCTCTATTAGAAATTTTTTTTTCAATTGTGGAGGTGCTGATGTTGAGCTATACACCTCTTTCCTCTATTAGAAAATTTTTTTTCCAATTGTGGAGGTGCAGCTGATGTTGAGCTAGTACACCTCTTTCCTCTATTAGAAAATAAAGCGAAAAGAAGCTGCAGGGAGGGGTACGGGCGGTAGGGTCAACAACAACATATTATAGTATTAAGAAAGTGTATTCGTATTCCTCTTTCGAATCGTAGTCACGACTTTTCGTTCATTCATTAATAACTCATAAGCATAAAAACCGACATTCACAACCAAACAACAGGTCGGTGTCGAGGAAAGTACCGAGTACATGAAGCTAGTCCAGATGATGAAGAAGGAACTCAAGAGCAAGAACGCTGGAAAGTTAGAACATGTCGCCACGTGGAAAGCACATCAGAGAGCAGTAACCAACGTTGTTTTCACAACAACAGAACAAAAGTTGATCTCCATTTCCACGGACAAAACGATGCGTCTGTGGAATCTAGAGGTAGAACACGGGCATTTCGTCCAACACGGACATCCGAAGCTGCACTACGTAGTCGAAGACGCGTACCCGATCAGTGCTGTGTGCACAGTGCCAGCGTTTCCACAACTGTACATACTGGCCAATGCCGCTGGAGGCATCCGTGTGGGCGACTACGTCGAAGGAAAGATCATACAGAATTATGGCACAGCGGTCGTATTAATGTTTTTACCGCTCAAGAACACTCTCTTGATGAACATTGACATTCTTAGGTAGCGTTCTATTCCTGATGAAGAACTTTTTAACTAAGGAAGTTGCACGTCGTGGGAAGTAGTCGCGTATAACTATAACATTTTATCCTGAAGTTTCTAATCTGAGTTCTCGCACATCGAGGAAGTCCGATGTTTGGCGATCGACCGACGAAACGGCAACTACATGTTTGGAGGCACGAAGTTTGGCGAAGTATTCGTGATTGATTGCGAACGACCAGGTGACTTTAAGTTCCTGCCTAATTTGAGCATCCGAATCAACCAAACCTGGATGGCGGCGACTGATATGCGCTTTGGGTCTTTGGTGACCCTCAATACGACGGATAAACTTCAGTTAAGGCTGCTTTTACTTGTAACTAGACATCCTTTAAAAGTAAGTAGTTTTCACTGAATTATATCGTGCCTGAAGGAAGAAATCTAGGACAAGGTCAAGGACAAACAACGTGTCGTGCATACTACTTTTCAAGTAGATCAATCATCTTCATCTCGACCTCGTCCTTTATTCCATAGCTCTAATCCGACCCAACAAGCCAATGGCCATGGATGCTGCCCACATATCGTACCAGGATCTGCTTGTCGTCAACTGCGCTGACAATTCAGTCGTCACGTGTCAGGTGACCTATGAGTCACGACTGAACCGCATCCTGACGTTTACCGTTCTCCATCGCTACCCGAACCTGCAAACAGTACTTCCTCTTCGCAGTTGTATCAGTTCACACGGTTACGTGATCACAGCCGGTGAAGATCGACATGTGCATGTGCACACAATCCACGACCCAAAGCACGTCTGCTCTCTGCTTCACGACGAGCCTTGTATCGCGGTCGACTTGAACCGATCGCACACGATTCTTGCTAGTGGCGACGTACTAGGTAACCTCTACGTGTGGCGTTGCTATTCTCGACAGGGAACCAGTTACGTGACTAGCGAACGCATGTTTGGGTCGGGTATGGAGGAAGAGCCTGATTCTGGTTCTGGAGGACCTGCTTCTGGTGGCTCAGCAGACGGAGAAGGTGCAAAAAAGAAACTAGAGAAGAAAATGAGCACACAAGGCTCCTTTGGCGGAGGAGGCGGCAAAACGTCATCCAAAAGCGGTAGTAGTTCCGCGAGCTCATCCTTATGGCTTATAGAGAAGTACTCAATACCGCGATCGACGGTCCATTTCGCGTTCACTTTGTTATAGAGGAGTAAATACTTAGTTCTGAGAACAAAGTGTAAAGATTTTGGTCTTCTTCGGTTTCCAACGTACTTAGTATTGAAATGATAATTTGATTATCTTGTTCCCTACTTCTACAACGAGTGGAACTCAAGGAGTCCACCTAGACCTACTGTCTGAAGAGTGATGCGAACCATTACCATTAGATAACTTCGATGTAGGTAATATGATTCACATCAGCTGCCCAGTGTGTGATACATTCATTATACTAGTTGAAGGACTAGTACCTTCTGATGTAGTACCTCCCCATACTCGTTGAAGGACTAGTACCTTCTGATGTAGTACCTCCTCTAACACTCGCAAGCGAAGGACCAGGAGCAGGATATGGCGGTGGAATGGGCAACAAAGGTGATGCCATGCGATCCGTGATGCCTGGCTTTGGCGGAGGAGGAGGAAATAGCTCTTCCGATTATGAGGAAGTATAGGTGTCTGTCGTGATACCGCTTAGAAGTTAAGTATGTGAGCATGTTGATCAGTACGTAGTTTTGCTAGAAGTACTGAGGATACATCCTAGAAGTATGTCTTCGTAAAAAGGGTAATAAAAGAGATGAAAATCGAGATCGATCATCAATGCAATTCGAGAAAAACGAGAACAATATCCAAAGCAGAACTATCAGTATGAGTTGTTTGTTTCTTTGAATACTATCGAGTATAGACTAATTTTAGCATAAAGATTTATCAGTTAGACAGTCTTCATCCAGCGTGAAGAAAGACGAGAAGCATCATCACGATCTATAATTGAGTCTAGTGATGATCGACCTGCATGCCGCAACAAGTACTATTACTTACAGAACTAGAGTAGGTCTGCAAGTGCATGATGAATAAGTGTCTGCTTCCACAGTCTATCATGGACAAATTACCGTTATCGGAAGTCATATTTCTTGCAAATCGTCGTTATCAGAATTCATATTGTTCCTTGCATTAACAACTACAAAACGAAATATATACTAATCTTCACGACGAAATCTTCTCAATATGAAATGTTCCTTTCTGCTAATCCAACCTCGATTGAAAATAACCATAAGTAGTCACTAACAAGAGAATGAAGTCGCGATGACAGGTAGATATAGTTATCGCAATGTGAGTTAAAGAACAAGACAGCTGCTATAGAAGTGCTCAAGTATGAAAGAGCGCTGCACTCTGATGTTTGTACAGAATGAACGGTGCTAGGTTCTTCGAAGAAGAACGATTTTGCTATTGAGTACAAACTACGAACTATTCACGTCAAAATCTTCGAAATTTAGTTGACAAAAAGAGCCGTTATCAGAAAAGTTTGTCGAAGCTAGTGTATCTGCCTCTTCCAACATTCATCGTCTATGTCTAACAAAACCGTACTGAAACAACGCAAATTTGTACAATACTATTCATTTCGTGCTTGTGTATCGTTGTATGTAATCCACTGTTGGGTAAATTTTGGTCGTAGCTATAGCAAGAAATGAATATTCATCGACATCATGAAGGGAAAAATGCGAGGACAACATCGTGACGGTAAGGATTTTTAAATGAAAGTGCGCCTGGTAAGAAAAGACTGAGAAACTACAACAGTGGCGTTGTGTTCGTTGAAGCAGATTCAGAAGCCGCTTGTGCGTCTTGAAACAGTTGTACTGCGTCTGCCACATCGGATGGTAGGCCCCAACCTAACCTAACCTGTACAGTGGTCGCGTGCCATCCGGTTGTCAATGTACAAGCCAGTTGATCCTACAACTAAAATATTCAAAAAAAAAAAACGTGGACCGCAGTCCAGGGCGAGAAACGGGAAAACCCTCTTGAGCTTAGGCTGGGACTACCCTACTATGCTCCGTCTTGTTCTAGGTGACGGCAATACGTGGTGCACAACTCAAGAACATGGAACAAGTTTTTTCGGGTACGGGGTGACGCGCCTCCTGGTCGGTGTAGAGTGATTGAGATCACGATTTTTGCATTCACTGAAGCATCACCACATGAATTATCGTAGTATTGGTTTTCATTGTTGGTGCTCTTAATGATTGCCTTCTATCCACCACCCACTAGTACACTAACTATTAATTCTTACTGCTGTAGTTTCATCGAAAAGTCATAAGTAAACGGCACAGCAGGTCGAAAGGCGTGGATGTATCTCGCCAATATGACATCTGTCGGATCCGAGCGCATGGGGACTTGAATCCGAACCATTAACAAGCGAACTTCCTCTAGGTTGAGATTTGGAGCTTCTATGTAGAAATCTTTAGAAACTCTCCATCTTCTTGTCCCACAACACACAGACAGGGAGTGAAGAACAAGAAAGGTCACTTTTTCCGACGTGTCATATTCATCTTTTGCGAAGAGCAATTGTTCAAGAACAAGATTCAGTTATTTTCCTAAGAAGATCTATTCTTTTCGTGTCTTGTGTCTGGTTGGTGTCACGTCGACACACAAAAACATCAAATCTTTCTATCGTTTCATCGTGTCAAGTTTCTTGTAGCGCCCAGCGAATATTGTTTGTTCAGTAGCTTGAATCAAATAATACAAACTGAATTTTTTTCTCATTTTCATCTTTCATAAACGGTTCCACCATCACTATAAGTATAGAACAATCTTTATTACTAGTTACTAGTATCTTCAACGAACAACTACGTCATTCAACAATTTTGAACTACATCATTCAACAATCACGACCTGAAGATCAACTTCGGGACTCCTCGTAGATCTCATCAACTTTTTTTTTGCAGCAAAATGGGACGACTTCTCGTCTCCTTTGTCGTTTGGCAACAATTGATACTACCAAAGACCTTGTTTGTACTCGCCAGTAATACACACGATAAGGAGGCACAACCAGTGGATTTTCCAGCTCAAGTTCAAGTGGAAGACGGAGAAGTGCCCCAACCTAGTTGTATCGTAGATGAGAACGCAAACGCATTACTAGATGAGAACGCAGAAGGCCCCGAAGTAACAACGGAAGGTCTCTGCCCTGCACTCGTTCGAAAGTTGACCCGAGATGACAACGACTGGGAGCGCGATGCGCAACCATTTCCCGAAAGCAACTTCTGGAATGACGAGCAACAATGGATGCTTCCTTCCGCTCAGTGGGAGCGGCCGCTACAGGTGACTTTTTCTTTTTATTCTGAATAGTTATAATATATTTATTCGTTTTAGTACAAGTTCTTGTATTCTTATCAAAGTGGTTTTCTGATATTTCAGCATGATCAGGATATGGATGAGCTACTCTAGTTGTACTACTCAATAGAGGTCGACGAATCGAAATGATGTTGAAGATGCTTCTATAGACCAAATATACACCACGACCAGGTCGAAACAAGTCCAGGAAAGGACCATCTGTCTCGATATTCACCATCTTGGGGATCACTTCGAAGCTTCGGAGCAGCCGAGCATCAGCATCACCCTGAGCAAACCTCAACGAACAATGGACCAGAACCTCAAGGAGACGATGCAGCTGCCAGAGAAAATAGCTTTCTTTATCGACGAAGAAACTCAGGTGCGTTATCTTTGCATTTAGATGTAGTGACAGGGCGAAGCGAAGGCGGCTCACGCTCAGATCTTCATGCTGATGCTGAAGAAGAGTCGCGGATCATTCATCGTGGCACGTCCTTTGGCACCGGTGGAAGCTCTTTTGGTGGGGATTCATTTGCTTTGCCGCACTTTGATACCTTAAACCAGGACACGCAGTATTCAGGTTCAGCGCATGAGGACGTCGCACGTCCTGTAGGAGTAGAACAAGAAGGAGAGGGAGGAGATTATCAAGCAGGGGAGGAAGAACACCGTCGAGGTCAAGAAGGTGGTGCTCCTTTTGAAGGTGGGTATGGTCCGGCACATGATGAACAACGAGTAGAACCACGTCAGGTCGTGATCGAGCGCGCAGCGCAGAGATATTTGACGGAGTTAAAGCGCATGTTGTCCGAATGGTTGAAGGTAAAAAGTTTCGAACAGGATAGGCAAATTGAGGGTGCGAGGGTAGCCGCAATTTATGAGTTGGAGAAAGAGGCCAAAGAAATTCTAGGCAAAAAGCTGTGGCAACAAGTCTGCATGCTTGAGCGAAATCGAATGAAACAGAATCAAGATTGGATAGCGATGCATGGAGTTGCCGATGGTGGAGCCGCAGGGAAGCAAAAATCACAAGTAGCGACCAGCGCACAATCTGATTACGCAGCGGCAGCAGAAGATTCAGGCTCAACAGGCTATACGCAAGGTTTTGATCTAATGGGACTGCTCAGCGGACCCAACGGGCTTTGGCCCGTTGATAGCATCCGAGCTGGCCTCGTGGACAAGCTTTGGACACACCTGAAAAATCCCAGCGGTGACGAACACCCGCCTCCTCGCCTAAACTTCGCCAAAATGAGTGTCGCTAGCGTGCTGGGCGAGATTCTCCGTCGGAAGCTCTTCGTTTTGGGTACATGTGGTTCTGCCTCCACTGAGCAAGATGCGATCCAGGCATTGGGCCTCCATCATCATCAAAGTGAGACACATGGAAAAGCACCAGTGTGGCAAGGAGAAGAGGCGTCAGTTGCACAACCACAACAAGATCAAGTAGAGGTCTCTACTACAGTTCTCGCCACGCCTCCACCACAATCGCGCCCTCAACGAGACGCTTTGGACGCTTTAGAGGAACTACGGGATCGATACTGCTCACAAGTCTTCGATGACAGCTCTGCTGCACTTCCGGAAGGCTTGGAGGATTGTGCTGGTGCGGCTGCGTTTGATGGGAATAAACAAGGTACTTAAAGAACTTATATTAATGATTGAAGGTCTCCTTGTTCCTTGTTACTAAACACCGTCTAGTCCATCCGTTATTAATGAAGTTGCAGTACGAGTGTGCGTTCAATTTTTCTACATACTCAACCTTCTCGCTTTGACCTTGAGACGTTTCTGAGGCTGAGCTCATCTGCTACAAGTTAGTACATCTGAACCAGGTTCCTATGCACCCTGCAGCAAGGCTGTCGCAGAGATTCCAGTAAAAATGCCCATTGAAGAGGACATCGAGAAAAGTGCGGCTCCGCCTACCCTTCGTCGTTCGTTGGCCTTCATTGAGGAACCGTCGGTTCCTGGTGAGCACGCCAGCCCTTTGAAATCAAACTGTATTGGCCCTGCATTGAAAAAGTGTCGAGCGACGAGTGTGCCAACGTTATGACTACCAGGAATGTGCATACTCTGAGTTGTCACTTCTTCTATTTAGGCATCACTCTTCGAAAAATGATATATTTATAAATATACCTCTGACTCACTCATTTTGCATAATAGCTCTAACAACTGCCGTGAAATCTCAACCGGCAACAAAACCAAGCATGGCGAAGGCTCCTTCAGCCCCTGAACCTATGGCTTCTGTGGAGGAGCCTAGTAGAGCCGCGACGAAACCTATGCCTGGCGGGAATCCTGTGGATCGGCCTAGTAGAGCCGCGACAAAAGATGAACCTCGTGGTCCTGCTACATCTCCTCATTCGATGAAAGATGAACCTAGTACGACTACGTCCCCTCATCCATCCTTCAAAGATGAAATGGCAGCACCGTCTTCTCTCCAATCCAATAAGCCGCTAACAACAAGTCCTGAACAAGAGCTAGCGCCAACATCTCCGGTTTCTTCCTCGCAGGATGCTTCTATATTAAGGCTACCGCTGAAGCATCTTCCTACATCATGCTCCTTGGTTTCTTTTTCAAGGGGAAAAAGACTCCGGGATGAGCTCAAGGATGCGACGTGGTAGCTCTAACTATACCGAGAAGTGGAATGGGAGCAGTCAATCATGAGGCAGTGGGAACCAGAAATAGAAGGGCTACAGGATCGTGGAGTGTCAGATCGACTGGTGGGGCGGTTCCGATATCACGTTTGGCTGCTCAGCCGCCTCAACAAATACTAAATTCTTCTCGTCAACCACTCGCACCCGCAACACCAGCGGGCCTAGATTTTCTGTTTCCAAGAGCGCTACAAGGGCCACCTCAGCGTCGTTCCACCGACACAAGAGGTGGTAGAATTGAAGTCGTAGACTTGACAGAAGATGACTTCTGAAATAGTGCTTAAAACTGGATCCGAGAGTTGTTGTAAGAGATTAAGAAGACAGTACTACTACTAGCTGCTAGTTGTACACACACGAAAGCTTCTTGGTATCTATAATAATATAGAAGTACAACTATTAAAGACGAAACAGTAATTCAAGGGAACTTTAGGGCTCAGAAATTGATATCTTGCTTCTGGGTACTAGAACTAGTATTGAAATGCTGAAGATGGTTGTACTAGACTTTAGTAAATATGAGGAGCAGCAATTACATGTACATGCACGTCTCAAATTTACGTCGTATCATAAGATTGATCCATCGTCATCGAAATATAGCTCGACCACCTAATCTAATGAAGATTTGCTGATACTTATATAAATATATCCTGAAAAAAACACGAGAAAGACAGAGCATGGAGTCAAAGCGGACCATCCTTGAGATCATCGCACACCATCCAATTCGAAAAGACATTTGCCTGCCACAGGACTCATGCCTTGTGATGATTTACCAAGTAGGTCACAGATTTGCTAATGCTAATATTGCTACTCGTTTACTACAAAGTGCACTTTGTTTTCTGAAAAACAATTAAACTGCACGATGTCCTTCTCGACGAAAAGAGAATCATCAATAATTATAAAGCAATGTAATATTAATGTAAGGTTTGTTCACTGCGTTCTTCTGAGACTTCTGCATGTTTACTTGCATCCTGTGGCCCAACCAAAGCAGCTTCTACCAACTCCAACCATTTCCAACTTAGTTCTAATAAAGTGTTGAATATCGGCATCTCTTTTGATTTGAAGATAGTGGTGCTACCTGTGCAAGCTCTCCGAAGATCGTTGGACGATAGATGCTATCGATCCTCACCTTTCGCGTTGCTCTTTCTTGTGACGGTCTAGAATGAGGCGTATTTGGTGAAGTACTCGGTCAAACAGATTGTCGGAACAACAACGCGAATCGCATCCGTTTCGCAAAGCCTTCTTCGTTGTGGGGTGGAGTGATGTCTACTTTTCATCGGTTGCTTATTCGATCGGTAGATGGCTTCTACCACCACCCTGTGCCAGTATACAATCATAGAGAAGACCCTCAATTTCCCTCCCTCATACTCTTTCCCTATCTTTTCTCATCCTCATCTTCTACGTCATCAGTTGATAATCTTTTTCGTCTGTGTCTGTCCATCATGTTGATGGTTTCATTGAGCAATCTTGAGTGCATTGATTACCATGATCTGAATCTCTTGCGTAGGCCACGATAGGAGGTTGGATTGTCAAGAAGGAAGTTCTGAAGGTAGGATGACTATAACAGGCGTAAAGAGGCCACTTTCGATTCAATTTAATACTTAGATGTATCGCGCTCTTAGGGAGGCTATCGTGACTCAGTAGTTGATGCGAGGTTTTCCTGTCATGTGAAGCAAAGGCAGGAGCGCATCCTCGTGTCAAAAGCAACAGAAAGGAGTAAAAGACCACGAGGACCACGAGACCGACGCATTTTTGTCGTGAGAAGCCTCTAGGCTGATCCTCGATCTGGGCAGGAGCAGAAGGTCTTCTCCTGAAGAACCGAAATTTCAGGAGGAAGACACAATCAAACTACAACTGTAGGAGAAGACGCAGGCAGAAGAAGACGAAGAGTATCAGCGGAGCACGTTCTTTGAACTACACGAGGCGCCAAATAAGCAGAACATCAACAAGCAAACGCTGCCGTTGCTGTCGTACTCATAACCACGCACATCAACGTCAACCATGGCCTCCCCAATGAAGAGCGCCAACCCAGGCGGTTCGCCATCACCAAGCGCGTCCCCACAAAAGACTGGCGGAATAGGAGCCTCCTCCTCCTCAGCATCGCCGATGAAGGGAGGAGGCCATGGAAGTCCAAGTCCGTCACCTGATCATTATGGTTCGTCTTGATAGATATAGAGATGGAAGACAAATATTCAGACAATCACAATCGATTCGGACGAGAATCCCTTTGTTCGCAGAAGATGAAATTCAAAAGTACAGCTACTGCTGCAGGTCTTTCTAGTCAAATTCATCAACAATAAACTCTTCAACATCGACCTCATGTCAGGCACATCAATCAATCAATCAATCAATCAATCAATCAAACCACCACCTGCCTCTAACCGTCAAAATCTTCCGCATCCCCAAGCACAAGGCGAGTCCCGAACGTCTCTCCGAGGATAACGAATCAAGTAGAGCTTGCGATGGCTTATCCTAGCCTCTACGGCGCGCCTTCATATGCGAGCATTTTCTCGGAGCCTGTAGACTTCGAGCCTGGTCCAGGACAGTATGATATGCCAAGCGCGTTGGGACAACAGTATTGACTCGTTTTTTCTCTAGAAGTACTCCAGCTGAGGAGATAAATCGAGCAGTTGTACAAATGGATCTATCTTCTAAGTATGTACTATCATGATCATATTTCTTGGAACATGATCAAGTTCATGTTCTTCAACAGGAATACTTACACTGCGTCATGTTGTCCACCTTACAACCATCCTTTTCTTCTACTTTCAACATCAACTACAGGGTCCTATCAAGAACCGATACGTTGCCGAGCATATCGATATTGGCGAAGCACTCATCATCCTGGTCAAAAGTCTACATTTCGAAGTATCACGCGATAAAGGCTAGGGATACTCCGGGTAACTCTAGGTTCTTTCATATCTATGGGTGCTGAAACGTAAGTGTAGTCACGTATGATGAATATGAGCCTCGTAAATCTTTTTTTTCAGTATGAAGTAGGAAATGCCTTCATCTACTACTTTACAACTGCATCAACTCCTACTCTACTCCACGACATCTAGACCGTAGATGATGACATTAAGATCCCCTACGATGATGATGTCTCCCAACATCCTCTGTTCTTCTCCACCCTTAGGTCCCGGCAGCTACACTCCAGGACTTCTAAATGCCGAAGGGTCGGTTAGGTTTGGAACAGCTGTGAGGAAAGAGGTGGCCTATGACACGGAATCACCCGGACCAGTTTATGACATTCGAAAGAGCGCTTCAGACTCCAATTTTGGAGCGGTACTTGTTGTTATTTTGTTAATAAATTAAGGGAGGAGGTTGTACAAGACTGTTGTAATGGTCCTCCCGTTTTAAAGGGTAATGATCTTAAGAAATCTCCCATTTTCAGAGCTCCTGTGATCTTCTTGGTCCCGTTTTTAAAGAGACCCAAGGAGTCCCAAGATGCTGCTGAAGATGGATTTCCATTAGTTCTAATTAAAACAAGGCCACTCTCTGGAAGGATGACGCTCTAGGCACTTTTCCTCTAGTTTGTTAGTTCATATTGGAAGGATTGTTTTTGTCAGTATCGTATTATCTACAGTTGGAGTTGTCCTTATGTTGACTCTATGCTAACTAGGATCAGGATTTTCTCTCGCCGAATGTTTGGGCACGACCACTTTTTTGACGTATCTATTCATCCTCTTCCAACTTCCCACGATCTTCAGGGAAAGTTCGGTCAGGATGATAGATGGCGAGGTCTATTAGAATTCGGCGGAACAGGACCTGGCCAATATAATGCAGAGACCTCATTCGACGGAACGACCGGACTTCAAAAATCCTTCGCTGTAGGGCATCGGGCTTATGATCGGGTAACATTTTTTTAGATCGGTTTCGTTACAACTTGTGCATCTCCATTGAGCAAGAGACAATCCTCCTAAAGATACAGAAATTATAGATACAGAAATATATTAATACATAGATACTAATAGATAGTAATCAGTACATCCCTCCTTCCTTCCGCTTTTTCTAGGTACGATTCCCCGGTTGTGATCGAGTTAATTTGGGGAGAGCAAGTCCAGGTCCAGGACAGTTTCGAAACTGGCAACCAGCTGGAAGAAAGTACTAATGATTGAAGTGCTTTATTGTGGACTATGATTTTTAAGATACATGATCAACAAATGATAATCTTGCGCATCAAGAAAGCAGGATTAATACAGGCGCATGTGCAAATCTTTCTTCTACTACTAACATTCAAAGGAAGTCTGTCTCATGATATGCGACGTTCTTCTTTTAAACACCACGATGATCAGGTGCGCGTTCCCCCGCTCTCTCCGCAAGCCGCTCTATGATCCCGGTTCAGTAGATTCCAGTGTCGGTCCCGGTTCTTACAACAGTACTGATAGCCTCTCCAAATCGTACTCCTACGGTTTTGGGAAACCCAGTGTGCGATCCCGTCTATCCTGGAAGCGCGACCAAGTGACCATGTCCAACTGGTGCAGACTGGGAATGGCTAAGACTGTCCGGGACAATAGGTGAAGATCACGCGGCCTAGAAGATCGTGCTGTTTTTAGAGATGGCAGTTTTGTCTAAGATATCCAGAAGTTGTATCAGGAGTATGTTTAACAAAGTTACATTTATTTAAGCTGATTGCTATTCTTGTCGAAAATCAAAAACGGGAAGTCTGGACATGGAGAAAATGTTCTAACTTACTATGACGAAATGAACTTGATATGTAGGTGTGCTAGTAGGGGGATTGAGTCAGTTGTACAAGCTGTTGCTCCTCGATCTCGACGATGGAACACTAGGTGAGTAGAGGAGTGCATATTGATGAAGGTGGTGCTAGAAACGGGGTGGAGTTCTTATTTTTAGTTGACAACACACATCATCAGAAGCAGTTGTGCATTATCTGTAAGAGAAATATCTGCGGACGGTAAGCTCAAGAATTATAGCGTCTGAGTGCATATTTTTAACAACATGATTTGTACAGTCTAGCATGGTTAATATTTCACAACTACAGTTTTGAATTTGATAACTACACACGACACTATTTGTTCAATGAGAAATGCATACAATTTGCGGTAAAGAGCAATCGCGAAATACTAAAAATGAGAAAACACATCCTGCAATGTAAATAAATTAGATTAACGATTTCCTGGGTCAAATATCAAAGTTACAAGAAATAATACCACCCATATTGACGTTTGTTGAAATTGAAAAACTTGATCACTTCTAGAAAATGAACAGATTTTCAATAGTATATCACCGACATACTTACAGCTAGTACCACGGACGACGACCGCCCATTTTCCCCAAGTTTTGTTTCCAGTTTATGTAGATGAATGTTTTCGTAAATGCTTGTTCTTCTTCTAACAACAATGTGTTGATGAAGCCGCATCTAGATCTATTGGTACCACAGAAATGAAGATGCATCAGCGAGGTTGACTGGACTGTCAACTTCTACAGAGGGCAACATCCCTTCGTCCCTTGTCGCAGATGCACCCTGTGTTCGCTGGAGCTGTTGTTTTGGAAACGGAAAAAAATTCCAAAGAACGATCGTGAACTTCTCTTGGTGGAGCCGAGACGAGCTATGAAAGGATAAGGATCTTCTTGGCCCTGTCGGCTGTTGCAGTGTCGTGGTTTAGGTGCGGTCTGACGATCAGGATCATCTATAGGGTGAATAGTACGCGGGTAGAAGACTTTGACCCCATACAGGACTAACTGCTGACCGTGATCAACGAAACCCCCAACCTAAATAAACTGTGTATAAATATATTTCTTTGTTGTAAATAAAGTTCGCAAGGAAGTTTTATTGTGTAGAATCGTGAACGTCGTGAGCGATCCGGTACTTGAGGCGCAGGGCTGAGCCACGAGCCCACCTGAGTCTGAATCGGCATAAAGTTGTACGTTGTAGTAACACGACTACATGGCGCTTGAGCTTGAGCAGGATTGCTCATTTGCTTCACATAGAGCAATCGTTTCCATATATGCAGAGTACACGTCGGAGTTCTGGACTTCTTGGCACTGAATGACCGCGGAATTTGGTTTATAAGTAGCTGATACCGGCGAAAGTCTCAGTTTGGCGTGCGTAGAATGCGAATACAAAAAATAATATCCGACAAACTATCGAAGATCATCGAAGATATATTCTTTTCCTGTGTTGCAAGCAAGTGCAACAAGATGTCGTCCCGCAACAAAAAGAACGATAAGCAGTCCGCTGCATGCGCCGGTGGGGGCGGTCAGGGTCACGACCGGGATGATAGAGGGTACATCAACTACAACAGAGGAAGTGATTTCTACTCCGACAATCCGCAGTATGTTGACAGAGGAGCGCACACTGCAGCTTCGTCTGGAGGTGCTTCTGGTCATCACTCTGCGGGAGGAGTGCATCATGGAAATGCAGCACATCAGTTTTATGCTTGATATTATATCAGCGAGCGTGAGGGTTCCTGTACTTCAACTTCTTCTTGTTACATATTAATTTAGGTTATAAGAGATGATTTAGGTTCGTTAAGGTCGTGTTAGTTGAGATGCTATATCGTTTTTATGCGATTGATTAATTTCTTTATCATTGCTCGTCTTTATGTGTCTTAATTCATCTTTTGATTTCTTTATCATTGCATGCTCATGCTCGTCTTCATGTGTCTTGTCTTCTTCCAGTGCTATAATACCCACGCCACGACAACCGCAGCCGCAGCCGCGTACGGTCACGACCCGGCGCAGGGTGTCCCTCCTCGTCCAGAAGTCGTGCATTTAACTGACGTCGTGGTTGCTGGAGCGATGCTGATTGTGAATGGCGTATGCACCATCATATGCGCTATCGGTCGAGCCATAGTCAGCAAGCTTGTGGCCATAAGCCTGTCCGGTTCTATCTTTGCCCCTTTGTTTGCGTTGATCACTGGTAGTGGGCAGCAAGAAGGGAATGTTATGTCTTCGAGATTGAAATGATTTTATCACGGCGTCACGTTCCCGAAACTACATCCATTTTCGTAAGAGCCGAAACAGTTGCTCTTTGTCTTAGTGAATAGTTTGCGGCATATTGCTATTGCATGAGCACCTGTATCTATTCGTGCTTATCATGATTATACGTCTCCTACGACATGATCTCCTAACGCTCGCGCAGCTGCTGCGACAGGTGGCCACAGAGATGGTGCTGCACACGAGAAAAAGGGCGCTTCCGTGAAGATTCAGAGAATGCTAAAGAGTCGGAAAAGCACCCATCACAGTTGGAGTTGGGTAGTCAAGAATCGATGGGAGATCATCATGTGCTCAGGTGTCCTTTGCGCTCTCCTTCTCGTGATATTCGACAGTCTTATTTGGCCACCAGCTACTCCACGAACAAAAGGAAAAGGCGGTAAAGATTTTAAGAAATGTGGATGTTGTAGTCGGATCCTCGTAGTGAGATGAAGTAGAAGAAGGGGTTCTTATTATTTTTGCTATGTATTGATATTGTTGGTAGAAGATTTCCCAGCTGGAGGTGTTAATCTGTAGAAGAGGAATGAATCATCTGACGATTGATGGAAGTTGTCATTTTAACTTTGTTTCTTTCTTTGAAGTGAAATAGTTTCTTGAATTCTAAGGCCAATGTGATTGTTGAACAAGAGGAGACTCAACATCCCTTCTCCTCTTATGACTTTGAACAAGAGAACACTCGCCTCCCTCCTCGGCCCTCTAATCCCACCTATTCACCGACTATTGCGGAAATGGAGGTAGATACATTGTGTGCGGAGACTTCAGCCTTCGATGAATTCGATATCGATAATGAACATGTCGGAAGCTGGTGGTGGCGATTGGCAGGGATGTTATGGTGGCCATAGTAGCAGCTACTTAGAAGTAAGAAGTACAACGGAAGATAACGTGAAGGTGTGAACCTGAATAACGGTCCGTCGTGGATTGACCGATCTGAAGAGTTCTTTTGCTGTCAATTTTATGCGATTTGATAGATGAATCATGTCGATCAAACCATCTCCCGGAATCAAAACACGTAGTACTCTAAAAAGATCTCCCGAGAAACGTGCTATTCTTTGCAGAGGGCGGCCACCCCCAGAAAAGATGACCCCAAGTAATCTGGTGAAGCTACTCCAGAAAAGCGACTATCCGTCGAAGCTGAACTCGATGAACATTGACCTGCTTGCAGAAGGCGGTCAGCTATCCTTGAGCAAGACGTTGAAAGTTAGGAATTAATACTTGGTTTGTTGTATCAGATGATAACACACGGCGGCATGCGACGAACCCGAGGGGGCATAAATAGTAATAGAGCGCGCGGCCACATCATGAGGACTTCAAGAATTTTTATAGCGTTAGTAGTACCTCTTTTTAGCTATTTCTTCCTTTGATAGTTCATGTTCATTAAGATTAACAAACATTGATTTTTATCTACCGCATAACATCGATCTACTGTATTTGGTCCTCCGATAGAAGCACAATTCTCGTACTAGGCCACCTTTCTAAAGAGCTCGCAGAGCTGATGTCTCGTGTTTTTGCAGGCAACTGCGGTATTGCGAACGATGTAGAGAACATAGTGGCGCAGTATTGGGGAGGTGGTAACGTCGACGCGAAAACCAACGAAGAGATCCAACCACTCGCAGAAGATATGCCGTTGTCCGTTGCAGACGCGATATTGACAGTATGGCTGCCAGGGGCTTTCGCTTTGTGATAGTGATTCTTACTTGTCCACAATCGACGTCTGTTTCATTTTTTTACACTTTTAACATTTGATTGAGAAACTTAGACTTTTCGGTTAGATCATAACCTTTTCCGAAATAAAAGAATTTTGAAGCAACGTCTTATTTAATATTCTTATCGTAGTGAAGTTAAGAAGATCAACAAGATGAGTAATCAATCATAACCGTACTCGGATCCTTTCCATACAGCTGATTTCCAGTAATCGAGTTGTAGCACGTTTTTGATGTCATATTCTTCAATACGTATAGTACGCTCACCCCCCCTCTTCTAACCCCCACAGCCTCCGAACTCTCCGCTTCTGCGTCCAGAGTCGCGGAGTCTTTGGAACTGATGCGCGAACAGACGCTGACGCTGAGCGGGATGACCGAACAAGGGTTTGTGGGCATGAATATGCTGACCCCAGAAGAAATCGTGAGAAAACATGGCGTAGGTTCTCTCACGGTGCTAACGCCGGTTGGATTATGTTGGCAGGCTTGTTCTATTTAGACTTATAATCAATATGTTCGATGGTTAAGGTTATGAGGGTGAAAACCTCCACATGAATCTTGTCAAATCTTCTAATCCCCGCCTCTCCATTCGAAGGAGAACCGAAGAAGGAGATGAGCCTCACGACCGCTGCCATGTTCCGGAGCAAACAGATGAATGATATGATTCTAGACTTGACCTTGCTCATCGTGAAACGCTCCGCTTCCGGAGAATTTGGGTCAGTCATGCTAGAGGCATTGCATGCACAAGCGAGGAAAGCAGGAAAGTCGTTGGTTGAAATGATAGACGATCGAGAATATGTCTCGCCTGGAACGTCGACGTCTAGCACGACTACTACTACGACCACGACTACAACGACGACTACTTCTGCGTTAGGTGCTTCGTCTTCCACTTCTTCATCGAAGAATGGTACTAGTACTACATCGAGTGTAGGTCCTGGCACTCCTGGTGCTGTGACAAGAGATATACGTGAGGAGCGCGCGGCTTCAGGAGCCGATTCTACTACCGTAACGACGACAACGACGAAAGACTTGTCTCAGCAAAAGGTGGACACTACTGTTAAGTCTTGCACAAGTCCATCTGGTCCAAAGACATGATGTTGTAAGTATATTAACTAAGAGCAAGAAGCACATCAACTCATTCACTGTGAAGGAGTTTTCGCTTTTCAGAGGACGACAAGTAGCTCGCATTTTCATCATGGTGCAACCATTGTGCACAATTTTCCTCTAATCCTTCTAGTGAGAGCAATAGTACAAGGAAAGCAAAGAGCATCTTTGCGCATCCTGAGACGACTACTTTGCGTTACCGCAAAGCTGGGCGTGAGATGGAACTTGCAGTAGGCACGCCATCGTTCTTATCCGAAATTTTGCAGACGACATTGGACCCTGGACATCGATTGTACATTCCGCCGTCGCCGGCAAGGACGAAGAAATCTTTAGGACATGTTGATTGAAACAGAAATTCATGTTCTTGTTCTTGTTTCGTCTGGATAATTTTTACCACGACCGATCATGCTCGAAGTTGTTGAAATCGAAGAATTATACTTAGAGGACTAATACTAGGATACGTACAAACTCAAACGAAAGCAGCTATTCCCGTCAAAAATTCTAGCTCTAATAGCTTACTATCCACCTGCAGAACTTGAGGGTTACCTTTTGCGACAGGCTCATGTGCGCTTGCACACCCAGGGAATGCAGCACGATATTGATAAGTGTGCGACAATGCATAAGTACCAGTCACTACAACAGGATCAGAAAAAACGCAGCACTTCTAGTGGTACTTCTG